ATGTGAAATAGGAAGAAAAGGGGCAAAGGGGAAGGGGAAGTGAGAGAGGTAGGGGAAAGGAAAGAAGGGAATGGACTTAATATGAGAAAATGAAAAAATGGAAATAAAGTAAATAGGGAGGGATGGAGAGGTTGCAGGGAGGACAGGAGAATGGGGGGAAAAAAGAAACAAGAGAGAGTATTTAAACATGCAAATTTCCATTGATGAATGTCATTATACTGTATACCTAAAATTTACCAATAAAATTAATTTTAAAAAAATCTTTAGAATGAATCTTTAACATATGCCATTTTAGACAGTATGAACACAACTCATGCACCATGGGAAGCAATATTGTTAGCAAATTAGCTGGTACTGTCTTGTACTTCAATTCCTTTAGATTGTTTTGACTATTTTTTTTAAATAGCCCACTGTCTTCTAGTTCTGTACTCAGAGGTTTCCTTTCTGTTTCCAAATTTTAGTAACTTTCCTTTTCTCTTCTACTTATCTTGTAGCACTATAAAAGTCACCTCCACATCTTCCGACTTCTGGTGGTACAATGATGGGGGATTTGGAGGCATTCTGGAGGTTCATCTTTGTTGTATTTTATCAACACTACATTACTTGGAATTACAGTAAAACTTACTTGGGATACCTGTACTTTTCTTGTTCTGTAGATGTGTAGATGATGTTGCTTGTTAAGATGTCATCTTTTATAAAAGAAAGTCTTGTTTCTTATCATGATGTATGTGACTTAAATGATTGTTTCATATTAAAACTATTTCTTAAGTTAAAAAAAAGTAAATGTACCTTAACCCACTGTGTGAGAGAGATCTTTACTTCTCAGGAGCAAGGATTTGTTGAGTGAAGGGCAAATTGTGTGAATTTACTTTATGTGGTAAGAGGGAGTATAAGACTTTTAAAAAGTTGAACTGTACTATCATTTTGTAGTATGAATAATACCTTTAGATCTATTATTTTCTACTTTTCATTTTTTAAAGTGTCTTTCAGACGGCCTTGCCATATCCCTGCTGATGAACCCTTACTCAGAACTAGAGATGAGCATTTGGCTTCCCTTCCATGTATCCTTCCTTGTCTCTTACCCTGGATGAAAAATGATCCTCCACAGGCATAATCTTCGGGTTTTATCACAAACACCACGAAGAACTGCTCTCCGGGAAAATTCTTCTTCTGTGTGAGACATAACAACCTTGTGATATGCAGGTAAAAAAGATGGCAGAAGAAGAAACAAAGTCCAAAGGGTCAAGGATAAAAAGAAAGGAAAAAGAAGAAAAGTAGAGCTTACCCTGGCCTTCTAACACCTTAGGAAAGACCTTCACATACTCACGATCTATTCCAGCTTGTCCACAATAATTGTTAAATCCAAGAAATTAAAATAAACAAATACACTGTTGTGATTTCAATCTATTTTGTCCTCACATGAGTGCTTAGAACTGTAACAGCTGTCATATAAACAATAATGTCAACAGCCTATATTTAATAATTATACTTATGTATTGTTTTGTTTTTATTTTAAAATAAAATTATAAATAACTTTCCTGAAAGTAATGAAGTCAGCAGTTGTATAAATAATGCAGTTAGGGAGGCCAAGGACCTGAATTATGTACCTGGCTTTGATTTTCTGTAAATATATTTATCTGTATCCCAGTTTCTTTGTCCATGAATGAAGCATGGTTGACAAGATAGCCACTAAGGACCATTATAGTTCTACAATCCTGACTTTTAAAAAAATTGTCTACAAATTTCTGGTATGTTTAGCCTACTGAGAAAATGGCCCATGACTGAAACAAGCACCCAAAGAGGAGTAACAATTTATTGCCAAATACACCCAAAGTAGAACTGCACTGATATGCTTTGCCCTTCATTAATATAATGTCCCGGGTGATGTAAAATCTAAAGTTCCCTATTACAGTTATTTCTCTATCCTTTTTTATTTGGGACCTCATAATACTGAGATGTTAAGGAAGAAATAAATACTAAAAACAAGAGCAGATATTTGGGACATCAATTCTGAGATCCTTAAAATTGGTTTGACTGATAGAAGTTTTTAGGTCTCAATTAGGTTGAAATTGTAATTAATTTCTCTTCATTTTTTGCTTGTTATTTAATGAGTAACATCAGCTTACCATAGAGAACAGATAAAGTCACATGTTCCTTAAGTACCACCCCAAAGAATAGAGTTTCTGAAAATATGCTGAGATGGTGTAAGTACATTTTTGCTATTTAATTACCATTAAAATAATAATAATCTAGTTACAAATAAAAACATGACCCATATCCCTTTGAACCTGTCAATCTGTGCAGAGTTGAAGCCATCTTTTGGTGACTGTGAGTGGTAAAATTTATTAGAATGCCTTTAACTGTTTTAAGTAGATCTCATAAATTTCACCCTAAACTGGCACCCTTCACTGAGTAGACTGGAATTTTCTGCTCATATATCTCTAAGGAAACTGTCAAATAGATGTCCCGCTGTATCGTGTGTTTCCAAGACTCTCCGTGGGGAAAAGAGTACTTGGCAGAACAGCACTGTTGTTCATCACCCACGCTTTGATTTTAGGCCTAGAGATCTTAATTTTAACCATCATAATGGAAAAAGAACCAAGGTACATAGTAGATGGCCATCTCTTTTGGATGCTGGTCCAGTAGGTAAACTGACTATCCACTGGCATTGTCACTGACAATAGTGACCACAGAATCAATGTCTCACCTGCAGTGTGATGGCAGCTTTCTTGGTCATGGACTGATAGACACCATTAAATTCCACATTGTGGTCAAGATCATACACTGGGCACTGCAACATGCATGAGGGAGAAAAAGGAAAGCATTATTAATGTCACATCACATGCAGGCTCTGTCTGGGCCTGTCCACCTAGATCTGTGGATCACAGAGCTAGCGAGTCCTTACTAAACCAGAAACCATGGAAAGTCTCCTCTACCCAGAACATTCATGAAATAGTCTTCCTAGAACTTGGTGGCTTGTCCTCTAAAGTCAAAGCCACTCCATATTGAAGAGAACTAAGAAAAAATGGCCTTTAAGTGTATAACATCTTTCCCATTTATTGTTAACACCCGGCAAGACAGGTGTTAACAATAGAAGATTTAAAACAGAACAAACAGTAGGTTTCTATTTTTCTTGTGGAATGCTTAACTTGATTTTCTTTCTTTCTTTTTTTTTTTTTTCAGTACTGGGGATCGAACTCTGGTCCTTGCGCTTACGGAGCAGGTGGCAAAACCACTGAGCTAAATCCCCAGCCCTAACTTGGTTTTCGTTATCATGATACATTCTCTCTCATTCCCTTCTTCCCTTGCTTTCTTCCTTCTTTCCTTTATTTTGGTAAGAGCTCAACTCTTCTTATTTCTCTAAATCATTCCTCAAACATGAATTACCCACTCAGGTGCACAAGATACTGTTGTTATTTAGCAGTCTGGTGGGAGACACATGGTAAAAAGGATGACATTCCTCCCTATCATTTACTCCAGGATAATATACTACTCCCTGTTAGAAGGTTGACAAGTATCAGTACTCACCATGATGTTCTGGACTGAGACCACGGAGCATGGATAAGCCATTTCAGACACCACTTTAATGATAACTGAGTCTACATCTTTGGGAAATTTGTATAGAAAAAACTGAAAATAAGAAAAAGAAAGACATAATTTTTTAATTATAAGAAATGTTTAACATTATGAACTCAAACCATTTTCACATAAATAGGATTGCTTTCTCTACTATTAGGCATGATATTCAGATACAAATCTCAATGAATCTTGGTTATTTCAGCCAGTCATTCATCTCATACATATTGAGCAACTAACTGCTCTGCCTTAGGAGTCTGTGCCAGACATTAGGAAGACAGTGAGTAAGACAAAGCAGCCATTTCACTTTATGGTATGACCATATCTTTTTTAGGGAAACTACAATATTTCGTTCCATTTCTTACTAAAGAAGTCTTCCTCCCCACCTTTGAATTAGGGACACATGGAATGTAAAATGAGACCAGATTATTTCTGTGTAGTCGTGAAATTTGAAGCTCTACCTTTCCTGTTCTTCAAGAATTTTAACCACCTTCCCACAGACAATAATTAGGACTAGACCAGTCCTTCCCCTAGAACTTTTGCTAGAGAAACTATTTCCTGGTTGGAATATATTAAGAAGATATTTAGATTACATCCAGCTCATGAAATATGTTTACAGTTTTGGGCAGGTTGAAAAATCTTTAAAGGTACTTTTGAAATATCACCAGAATTAGGAAATTTCTTATAGAAAGAGATTATTATACTATTTACCTAGCTAGATTATTAATCCATTGGCAAAATGTACCGACTCTTGGGCTGGGGATTTAGCTCAGTGGTTCCACCGCCTGCCTTGCAAGTGCAAGGTTCTGAGTTTGATCCCCGGAACCAAAAAACAAACAAACAAACAAAATGTACTGACTCTTAAGTTTTGAACATGGTACTAATGATGAAGAAAGGGAAATTAATGGTCAGTAATGATAACTGGTCAAGATGTGATGTCAAACTTATCATTAATATTTTGATAAAACCAACCAAAACAAGTCTCATATCCTAGTAGGATTCTAATAACAGAGACATGGCAGGGGGTATCACAATCCCAAACTTGAAACTATACTACAAAGCTACTGTGATAAAAACAGCATGATACTGGCAAAGAAACAGACCTAAGGATCAGTGGAACAAATTAGAAGATACAGAAACTGCTCAGCCACCTCCTCTTTGACAAAGGAACCAAACACCCTCACTGGAGGAAAGCTAGCCTCTTTAATAAATGGTGCTGCAAAAATGATTTCAACTTGCCAAAGATTAAAACTAGACCTATATCTCTCACCATGCACTAAGTTAAAATCGAAATGGATCAAAGATCTAAATATTAAACTGAATAGTTTCTCTGATGTGAGAAACTGAAAGTGCAACTAAGGATCAAAATGTATAATAGATAATGTGAAATAGGAAGAAAAGGTCCAAAGGGGAAGGGGAAGGGGGAAGGGTAGGGAAAAGGAAAGAAGGGAAAGGTATAAATATGAGAAAAGGAAAAAACAGAAACAAAATCTTTGTAAACAGGGAGGACAAGGGAATGGGGAAAAAATAAGAACCAAGAGAGATTATGTAAAGGTGCAAATTTCCAATGATGACTGTCATCATATTGTATACCTAAAATGTACCAATAAACTTAATGAATTAAAAACAGAAAACCAAAAAAACCCGTTTTAAACTTGCTATTGTATAGACCTTTCTCTTTCAGAAGCTATGAAAGAAAAAATAAAAGTAACTAGAATGTCAACAGAGAAACAGCCTGAAGTAATCAACATTTATTATTATTTATTCTGTTTATGAATATGGTTTAATGAAGAGCACATCAAAAATAGCTAATTATCCTAATGCTTGTCAGCATTCCTGCTCTTTCTTTAAAACAGGAGAAACTAATTTAACCCATCAGTAACATTGTAGGAATTAAAATCTATCTTATTTTTATTGTATTTTTAAGTCAATTATTTGTATATCTGTTTGGCATCCGCATTCCACTCCCTGTCCCCCACTCCATCCTATCAGGTCTGTAATGACAGAAGTTAATGTCTCTCTTCTTCATCCCGTGTCCCTAGCACCTAAAACAGTCCAACACTGTACTTGGACATAGTAAGCCATGATTTGCTTAACGAAGGTTGAACCAAAGAACACCAGAAAGCAGATATCATGTCTTCCATTTCATGCCAATTAAAGCAATAAGATTAAATGTTGTGTTCAAAATCCCAGTGGCACAAGTAACAATCCAGAGTATAAATACATCTAAAATTGCAAAAGGTCAAGGACAACACCACATGCTGACTCTCTTTGATTCCATGGCTTCTGTGGGTAACATCAATAGAGGGGCTCTTGATAACTCTTGAAACTCTTCACTTACCTGAGGCTGAGAGGGGCTGGCAGTAAAGTGAAAGGCAACATTTGTCCTGAGAAATGTAAACAGGAGAAGGGAAAGGGGAAAAAACGATTATAAAAGCATAAGTTAGCAAGCCAAAATTTATTTACAAGAAAGCCATCTTAAACTAGATGCAAGGTGGAGAGATTTACCCTTTGTGAAGGGAGTTTGATCTTATCAAATTGATAAAGCTCCATGAGGACTTGGTAGTGTCAACTCCCTACAATGATCACTTTGGGAAAAGAGATTGTTTTTATACCTTTAAATATTCATGAAGTCCTTCCTACATGAGCAGTTCATTTTCAGTTATGGACACTTTGCCTTTGAATTCTCTTAAGATTTCACAGTCAAGCACAAGGGGTTTAGGTATCAGAAATGAAAGAAAAAAGAGAAAACGCAAGCTTGAGGGTCGTTTTGGATAATGTAGGTGTCACTTCTAAATATTTTTGATGGATACTGGCAAAAGATCATTTTAAAAACCAGTCTATAGATAATCCCTAGGGATAGAAAAAGGCTCTTCCTGCCTGTAAGCATTTAGCCAATTGCCTGCCACACCCACTACAATTCATCTCCAAGGTTTTTCCCTCTAGTGCATTGCCTTATAAGGCTCATTTAAAAAATATAAACACCACCAGAAAATATAATGAAGTTATCTGCTCTCCAAGTCATAATTTACTGTGAGTAACTGTATTAGATATTTAAGACAGCAAAGATCCAGGCATGAAGAAGAGGGTGAGAAGTGGGTACTGTGATAGCCAACCTGACTCCATCTTGTGCCTCAACGCCATTTTGTACCTGTGCTTGAACAAAGTGCTTGCACATGAACAAAGCACCCAAAACCCCCACATCCTGCTTGGCAGTAAACTTGCTGCAGTTTCAGGATGTTTTGTAGCTCACCTAGTGTGTGAAACTTCCTTGTACCCCCGACTAATCTGGCATGGTTCTGCTCCTGTAAGATTCTGCTTGCTCTCCCCTGAGACCTCCCCAACTGAAAGCATGATTTAGAAGGAGGAATCAAACTGCTTCCCATTGCCAAGGAAACTTTCTGGGTGCAAGCCCCCCTTGGCTGTTGGCTATAATAAATGGGCTCGAATTTGGCACAGAGTGTGGTGCATCTCTATTGTTCAAACTTGCTCCTCCACAACAGGTACAAAGCAGGAACTTGGAACACAGAGTGCTGTCTGGAATGAACATCAATGAAACAGTCCAAGAGACTGAAAAACACAAGGACAAACTTCTTCTCTGTAGCTTTGTAAGGGCTGCCCTTGGGGTTTTGCTCTTTCTGGCTCTTGGCACACCATTAGCCTTATAGACGATCACTTGCACAGGGCTGCTGTCTGGCAATTCCCCAGGCTGCTGAAGCACCACCCCTCAAGAGCGGCATCCCTCCCTCCAATGTGCAACCCTGACAGCATTTTGGGGAGTCTGAACCTGAACTTCTGAGATCCCTATCCATCTTCTTCCTCTGGTGCTCTCTGAAGACTTTCTTTATACTCACGGTTTCTTTTATAATAAATAATTAGCTTAAAAATTAAAGATACCTTTAAAAAGGATATATTAAGACATGTAAGCAAGACATATTTAATTAGAGATGTTACTTAGAAGTCATACAATGTGAGCACTGTTTACAAAGGTAATGGTCACAATTTAGGCTGTCATTGAACTGGTCTCAGAATTTAGTTCCCAGCAATGGATCCCATTTTTATACATCTACTTTCAATAGAAATCATCATCCATGTGGAGGATTTGTTAGGCTAATGCACGAGTGAGAACTTCTGGCTTTAGGTTGCCTAAAGAATCCAAAGTCAATGCCAACCCCAGTTGTGTGTTCCAGAGTCAGAGCCCACCATGCTGTGTGTAGCCTAGTAGTGCTCTTTCAGCACTCAGGGGAATAGTGTGTCACCTGCTGCTACGAGGGCTATGTTCCTGCTGCCAGGTCAGTGGAACAAAGAGGACACGATTTTCTTGGCTAGCAGCTGACAGTATGAGATTTCCTGAAGCAGCTTGTGTATTTTGGCCATAGACTTGATTTTTTTTTTATCCCCACCCCCATCATTTGAATTTCAACTGTAATACTGAATTTATGGATATCAATATACACTTTCTGGGTTTTTCTTGTTCATTATATTTTATTTGCATACAAACTCTGGGTGTGTATTTTTGACTTTAGGGCTAAAACATTTAAGTCTTCTCTTTCTCATGGAGTCAACAACATGTGGAAAATAAGCATTGTGCCTGTTGGGGATCTTTGAAGCCATCTGCTACTTCTCGCACAGTCCCTAACAGAGGCAGGGGTTGTTTATTTTATCAAGGGTTATTACCGACAGAACAAAGTAACTGAAACTTACAGGTATCTTTCGTTTCAGAGAAAGAAGCATCGCATTTTTTATTTATTTGTTTTAAAAATTAAATACAGGAAACAAATATGTGTTCAGTAAACATAAGAGACTAAAGTCCAATTTTGTTTCCTTGTTTTGACAATTTATAAAAGAGGGGGAAGGAAAGAGAAACAGATGGAGTCAAGACAGGGAGAGATAAGGGAGATGAGAAGAACGAGAGGCAGCGAGGCTCTAGAAAGAGAAGAAACATTTATAAGAGAAGGAAAGATAGATGGGAAGAAAAGGTGAGGGGAAGGAGAGGCAGAGATGAAAGTGCAGCAGGGTTGAGGTGTGTCTCCAGGAGGGCTGTGACAGTCACACATCCTACTCACCTTTTACCAACAAGCTCTGGGCAGAGAGCACAGTGGTTGCTCCAAACCCCACTTCGTTTGTTGAAGGAAATGATGCCCTATTATTCCCTTGGACTGTGAACTTCAGAACAGCACTCCCTCTTACCTCCTGACTGCCATCTGCCAAGGGCTCCCTTCACCATCCTAACCCTTCCCACAGCCCTCTAACCCTAATCTCTAATCTAACCCTAATCTCTAATCCTCTAATCCTGTGCCCTTCATCCCCCTACCCTAAGTATGAACTCTGTACTAATGTGCTAAATTCTATCATTTCTACCCTTCTCTGGGACTTTGCTTCTACAAATATCCAGCTCTCTTACGAATTTAATCTGCCTTTGTACTCTGTCATTTATAAATATATGCTAATCTCAACCATTTTCAAAATAACCATTTCAACAAAATTCCACCCTTATCTCTGTTTCTGCCTTCTCAAATGTCATCCGACATCCTTTCCTTCACTAATCAGCTTCTTAAAAGAGTATTCTGCCCTCACCTGTCATTCATTCTTTCCTATGCCCACTGACGTCAGGGTTCTTTCTCCTTTAGCCCCTTGAAATTGCCTTTGCTGAGGATAGGAGCCACCCATTCTCTTAGTCCATTTGAGCAGCTATAACAAAATACCATCAGCTGCTGCTTATATTTCTGTTTGCTTTTGCAGTGCTGGAAATTGCATAAGGGCCTTGCACATACTAGGCAAGTGCTCTACCACTGAGACACACATCTAGCCTGCTGGATGCTTTTAAGTGACAGAAATTTACTTTTCACAGCTCTGGGGAATGGGAAATCCAAGACCAAGGTGCTCACAGATTAGTGTCAGCTGAGGGCCTTCATCCATATGGCTGGTGGCTTCTTGCTCTGTCTTTTTGTAGTGAAAAGTGTGAAGGGTCTCTTTGAAAAGGATATTCATGGCATTTGTGAGGGCTCTACCGTCATGACCTCTTCACCTCCCAAAAGCCTTATATCCTAATATCATTGCCTTGGGTTTTAGGATTTGAACATATCAATTTGGGGTTTACAAACATTCAGATGACAGCATCTTCTAATTGCTAAATTCAGTGACTTAATCCACAATTATCTTTACCTATCTGTGGCATCTGACATTTGGCAATCACTTCTTTTTGAAACACTTTCTTCTCTTGCTGTACATTTGTTTTTTCTTAGTTTTCTCCAATACATCTAGCTGTTCTACTCAGCTTCTTCTGACAGCTTTTGTTTCACAAACCATCCCTTAGATGAGAATGTTACTCACAACACTAGTCTCGATCTCATTTTCTTTAGCCACATATGTGCATGAATGCATATAAATTCATTTGCCATAAATACTACAAAAATGTAGATGACTCTTAAGTCTTTAGATCCAGCTCAAGGCCATCTCTTGGGCTCCAGTGACAGAAGAGAGACCCTCCACTGGGCTTCTGCACTTGATTGTCCCTCAAACCCCTCAAACTCTACAATGCCCACAATGGAATGTATTGCCACTTCCTGATCCTGACCTATTATGTCTTTCTTCACAGTAATCCTCACCAGACTTCCAGAATCATTGCAGGAGTCATTCAGACTCCTCCCTTTCAACCACTTTCCACATATGATTGATTTCCATATCCTTCTCATTCTATCAGTAAAAAAGGAACCTGGATGGTTCTGCTCCCACCCAAAGCACCATATTTACCTAAGATAGCATCAATAAGAAAAAAAAAGTAATATAGATCTTTACTGTAATCTTTCCCAAAATACCAAGGGATAATTACATAATAAGATGAAGAGCAAAATGATTTAAATACCTCATCCAATCCATTTCTTAAAAAAAATCTACTTTTCATAGCATGGTAGCTAAGCTATCTCATTGCATATTTTCTCTACTAAAACAATTAAAAATAAAAAGTCTCAATATCACTACTTACAAGGCTGGAAGAGGATCAAAACCTGCAAATATTAACACAGGACTATCATTCTTATTCTGCCACCTTATTTGTTGAATTTGTGAATTATTCTCATGTATATTGACTTCCTTACAACTTTGTTGCTTTCATAATGGCTCTAATCATTTAAAATTATTTCTCCATTCAAATAATTTTATTTGCCCAAATGCCTCTGCTCTTTCCTCTATCCCAAAGCATCTTCCACACTCACTAAAGTCATCTTTAAAAATCTGATCTATTCTTTTTATTCTGATGTATAAAATCCTTTAGTGGCTCCCATAACCTGGAAGGTAGAGTCCCATCTCCTGGTTCATACAGATCAAGGTTGGGTACAGCCTGCTTCTCCAGCCCTGTCTCCTGTAACTGTACCCAGGTACCAGTGAAGCAGCCTTCTTGCAGTGTTGCTATGTACTCAGTAGTGCCATCTCACTGGCACTTTGCCAGACTTCTGTACTCCAACCTCAACATGTCCAAAAGTGATATTATCACTTCTTCCTCCCCTCCTCAATATTCTCACTTTCTCTTAGTGACACCACCATCTATGTGCTACAGCACCATTCTTGGTTCTCCTATTTTCCCTCCTTTCACATCTGCTCAAGTTGTCAATTTCACCTTCTAAATTCTTCAAGTCATTTTCTCACTTTATTTATTTTGACCACTGCATTAGCCTTCTAACTTTTGTGCATCCAGGCTTGTCCCCTTCAAATCCATTCTCTATCACAATGTAGGCAACTGTAAATTTCAGAACACCCCTTCTATGCTTCCCCGCCTGGTGATCAGATGTTCCTGCTCTGGCAGCCCCTGCTGTTGCCTGCCTGCAACTACACATTCTTGCACACCGAACAGAGTTCCTGGAAATGAGTAGTGGCAGAGCTGTACATGTGTGTGGAAGGGTGGGTAGGTAGATGGCAAGGAGTACAACTTTAAGGCAGAGCTGTTTTATTTTAAAGCTGGATTTAAATAAATAAATTCTCTGAGGGATTGAGAAACATATTTAGGGGAGTGTAAAAATAGTGTGGACAGTTTTAAACAGAAAGTAGAAATAGAACATTATGGTGAAAAGAGCTTGGAATTGAGAGTGAGTTTATCTTGACTTTACCCTTTCCTAGCTGTAACAGATGGGACAAGTTGCTTAACATTTCTGGGCATCAGATGGGTCATCTGTAAAAATGAGGTAGGTGGATTAGATTCCATAAAGTCCTTCAATTCTTAAAATGTTTGGTTTTAGAAAAAAGAAAAGAATTCCAGAATGTGTTCCATATACATTCTAGTTTGCCATTTGAAAATACTGACAGGAATTGCAATGTTAGGGATTTTGAGTTAATTCTTCAGTATTTCTCTTAATACCTGGAGCCTTCTTCTTACAGTCCTCAGTTCTGCTCTGTGATCATTATCCTCTGGACTTGTGGGTCATCAGTACAGTTGGTGGAAATCAAGGAGCAGCAAAGCAAGGAGGAAGAGATGTATGTATTTTAGCTACTGCTGTTTCTGAGGCTTAGCTTGGTTCCTAAAAGCCCTAGTCATGATGTGTATTTTGAAATGCTTTCAGTGTCTGTTTGCTGAAGCTAAGTCATATGAAAAGAGGTGGAAACAGAAAACAATGTGACAGAATAGATTTGCAGTTTCACCAGCATGGATGGAGATCATTCATTAACACTTGCACAGAGTTGTAAGCTTATGACTCCAGTTTCACGGAATTCTGTTCTCCAAAGGGTCTAATTATCTCCTAAAAAACCAGCCCTATAATTCAAGTTCACTGGCACCAGATGACAGTGATTAAAGACATGGAGACCAATTAGTAAAGGCAATGTTTCACTGAAGTTCAAACTGAACTCTGTTCTAATAATATGCTACCACCCCCATCAAATGTATAATCATTGATTCTCATAAGGTTTAATACAATAAATGCATTTAAAAATAATAAATTAAATTGAAGCATCATATTTACAGATTGCTTTATGATGATAATATTCAACTCTGGCTAAATATTAGAATCACTCGGGGAATTTAAAAATATACCAGTACTCAAATCTCTGCTCTGGAGACCCTGATTTAATTGATCTGGGTGGATCTTATCCACCAGAGAATATGTTTTTGATTGTTTTTTGGAGGGAGAGGGGGAAGGAGTTGTTCATGACTTTTAAAATTATCACATCACCCTTTTCAGTGCCAGAATTAAATGGTGGAATTTGGAACTAATTGCTGTGACTGCTTCTCCATCTTTCTGAGCATTCATGCAGCCATTTACCCATCCATATCTATGGATGTCTGTCATGTTAAAGGGTGTAGAGTAGACTAAGATAAATATTTGATTCCTTTTAGCAACTCTGCTGGCTACAGATGTTTTTATAAACTGCCTTAGGAAATTTAAAGAGGGCTTTATAACAGAATAGCACATACTAATCAGAAAAATAAGCTGAAAAGATACCACATACTATTTTAAATATTCTGATTTTCTCAATTAATGTCTTATTTAAATATAACAAACATAGAAAAGCACACAAGTTATAAACATTTATCTGAGTGAGCATTCATGAGGTTAAACAGAATAATGTACTTCTTATTTCCTGCTCACAGATATCACTGTTTAGTCTCTTAATATTATGGAATAGCTTTGCCTTTTAATAAACATTATATAAATGAAACTAAATAGCACATATTGCTTTTGCATGGCTACTTTTGCTCAACACTGTGAGATTTATCCATGTATAGCAATAGTGTGTTCATTTTTATTGTTGTATAGAATCCCACTGAATGAATATCACAGTAGTGTTGGGACTGGCACTGCATCGTGAAGCCTTTCCATGTATGTATAGCACTTTGTGTGCGTGTGTGTGTGTGTGTGTGTGTATGCATGTGTGTATGCATGTGTGTGTGTTTAAGAGGATTTATTAAGCAGAATGTTAAAAGTACACACTCAAAAAATAGACTGTGGGCCCTCAAAAGGGAGAGAGGAGGTTATAGTCTGGAGCTGGGAATATTTATGTGTTTTTGGCAATGGAAATCTGTAAAATTTGTGAATCTATATAAAGTTTGTGCTTGGTTTATGGGAGAAAAGCAATGACCCACCCACAAGTGGAAAGATAATGGCTCATTTTACAGGAGAAAAGCATGGGTTGAATCTACTGTATTTTTTTTTAAGATGGGTGCTTTGTTTTCCCAAAAAACATTCTTTGAACCTTTGAATCTGTTTATCTTAAGGTTAGGTTTCTGCCCTTTACCTTATCAACTAGGCTAATTTATGGACTTGTAGTATCTTTAAGGATTTTTTGTATATCATTGGCTTGGAAGAAGCATAAATAAGCCTAAGCAGGGCCGGGGATTTAGCTCAGTGGTTCCAGCGCCTGCCTTGCAAGTGCAAGCTCCCGAGTTCGATCTCCGGTACCCCCCCCCCCCAAAAAAAGCCTAAGCAGTGAGGGCATTTGCAGAGACAAGTGACCAAACTGCAACCCAAAATACACTTATTCTTTGCAAGGTGTCAACACTGCAGTGAAACCTGAATACTGAGGTTTTAGTTTAGGAAAAAACTCCTACATTAACATATTTTGTCTTAAAAGAAAAACAAATAACATGCGTGGTTTGCAACGACTGGCCTAAGGAGTATAGATACGGAGAAACTTGTGTAACTTTGTGGAGAAACTTGTGTAACTTTGCGTCCTGAAATTGCAGGCTTCCTTTTTTTTTTTGGTATCGGGCATCAAACTCCAGTCCTTGCGCTTGCGGAGCCGGCGGCGAAATCACTGAGCCAAATCCCCGGCTCAGGCTTCTTAAAAAAATAATTTTTAGATTATGATTTTCCTTGTCTTCTTCTTACCTATCTTTATTTCTTCTGTTCTACCTCCTTTCCTAAACTTTAGTAGTTGAAATGGAATTTTATTTTGATTTTAATTTAATTTTTTATAGCTAATAAGCTGTGTTTATTTTCCATTTAGGGAGTTTCTTTGGTGAATGTCCAAGATTTACACTCATTTTTTTCAGTGGGGCTGCCTTATGTTTAAAAAACAAGAACAAAAATAATCCTGGTCACTCCAGAGAAGGACAAAGACACATTTTTACCCACATTCCTAAACTGGAAGGAAGAAGAAAACCATAAGGATATGAAAAATAGTTTAAAGTCTTCCTTAAAATGAACACAAAACTTTTCTTTAGGAGTGTGGCAGTGACGATTCTTATCTGGATTGCAGACAGGACCAGGCCCTCATGCAGACTCCTTCAAATAGGCTGGTACAGAAGTCCACTGCTCTTTCCCTCTATGCTGCCTCCCTCTTGCATAGAGTAAGACCTTGTTGGGCAGTAAGGTTTAGAAGGTGCTGAAGTATTATGCTAAATGGGCAATGCCCGTGCAGAGTGCTAATGTGTAGGGACAGAAGCTGACTGCCGCATCCACAAACAGGAAGAGCTGACAAGCAAACAGAGAAAGTCCTGCTTACCAGAGCTGGAAGTGCTTGATCTTGGTCACCAGTAGTTTGTAGTGGGCACCAAGTGGTGCCATGGATGCCACGTCTACAAATATCAGTTGCTTCAAAGGTCCTGTTTCATTGGTTGCTTTTGAAGGACATAAAGTGCGGCTGACTTCCTGGTAGCTGTAACTCCTTTGGTATCTGTGGCAGCCAGAGAGGGTAAGATTGGCAAGAACAACAAAGAGACTCTGTGAACAAGCAGGAGAAGAAGCCTACCTCATTTTGCTTTTCTCCAAGTTTGCTTTCAAGTCTTTATGTTTTCAATTTCAGACTGGACCTACCAATAGTAATTTTAGAACGAGTATTGTTGGCATCGGGGTGTGTGATACAATGATAGTGACAGGAGGAGTGTTCTGTGCTGATCAAGCAGTGTCTACATTCCACTATATCTTCATAAAACAACTAAGGAATTCAATTGTTCTGCCCTTCAAATTTTTGCTAAAATAGAGTGTAAAGAAATTCTGGGATCCAAGGCAAAGCTATTTCAATCCTAAAAATTTCAAACCTTTAAAAATGATGTAATAGCATACTAGGTGCCCATTTCTATATGCCTTCTGGGTCTTTTCTTATCAGTGTAATGGTGTCTTATATAGTTTTCTCCTGAGAAAATATAAACTTTACCAGGGTGGGGACTTTTTTTTATACTGCCGTATCCTTAACACCTATCCCTTACTAATGCTCTGTAAATATTGTTGAATTAAGATGCACATATGGTGGAGATTTGCATGGGGGAAGTGTTGCTCACTTAGGTTGATGGCTGGACCCACCCCTTTGAGTGGCAGTTGGATAATCCATTATCTAACCATGAGCTACTGAACATTATGGTAGATTTTAAAATGGTAAGCGTTCTGAAATTCAAAGAGGATGGAAATTGAACAGAAGTTAATAGGTCAGGAAATGCACCATGACAACTCTTTGCACTTAACGTGCACATCTGAACATTCCCATGTCTGATTTTTCCTTTCACTAGGGAAAAAGACCAATTACGGAATTACAGTTTAGGAATTTTTTTTTCCAGTAACAGGGATTGAACCTAAGGCTGTGCACTGAGCTATATCCACAGTCCTTTTTTACTTTTTAATCTGCGGCATCTCACTAAATTGTTAAATGGCCTAGGCTGGGCTTGGACTCGTAATCCTCCCATATCAGCCTCCCAGAGTGCTAGCAACACGGGTAATCATTACCATGCCTGGCCGGTCTAGGATACTTCAGAAATCCAGATGTAGTAAAGCTATTTGGGAAGATGTCACTTACAGCCCTTGGAAGAGCAGAGGAACCTGCCAAGACAGCACCTCTTTCTGTTGACGAACCACAACGAGGACTGGGTAGTCAAGGTTCTCAGATGAACTGTTCACATGCACCCTCACTGCGGTCACCTGCATGTCAGAGCAGAAAGAAGTAAAGCAAACCACACATACACACAATCACACATGTACACATGTTCACAGACACACACAGACACAAACATACACACACATATAGCTGCCATCTGAGGCTCATGAAAACTTTGATTTCTGACATTTGCTTTTCACGATAAATAATCCAAATGCCCTAGTTGTATTTCCCCATTTGTATTGTAACCAAAGTGGCTTTCAGCCTTGATTGTACATTGAAATCACCAAGAAAAATTTAAAAACCTGAAACAGAATTTTAAAAGTTTAAAATTCTGATGCAGTTGGTCTTGGGTAAGGAGCCTTCTAAGAGCAGGCTGAATTGAATAGCAGGCAACACAAGGTTTTGTGAAAATAGAAAAAAAAGATATTGATGGTCTTTTCTTGTTTGAATATAAGTATAAAAGATATAAATATACATATATTTATTTATTTTTGATTGTTTGTTTTTGTACTGGGGATTGAACCTGGGACCTTGCTCTTGCGAGGCAGGCAGTAGAAGCACTGAGCTAAATCCCTGGCCCACAAATATATTTTTAAGGAATCAAAATAGGAAAGGAAAAAGTTAAATTGTCATTATTTGCTGATGCTATGATACTTTACATAGAAGACCCAAAATACTCTGCTAAAAGACTTCTAGACTTAATTGACAGATTCAGTAGAGTAGCTGGATACAAGGTCAACACTCAAAAACCAATAGCCTTTTTGTATACAAATAATAGACTCACTGAGCGAGAAATTATGGAAACAATTCCTTTTACAATAGCATCCAAAAAAATGAAATATCTAGGAGTCAGTCTAACAAAGGAAGCAAAAGACCTATACACTGAAAACCATAGCACTCTGAAAAAGGAGATTGAGCAGGATATAAGAAAATGGAAAGACATCCCTTGTTCCTGGATAGGAAGAACCAATATAGTGAAAATGGCCATACTTCCAAAACTATTATATAGGTTTAATGCAATGCCAATTGAAATTCCAACAATATATTTCACAGAACTAGAGAAAACAATCCAAAATTTCATTTGGAACAAGAAGAGACCTAGGATAGCAAAAGAAATTTTAGGCAACAAAGATATGGCTGGGGGTATTACAATCTCCAACTTGAAAATATACTACAAAGCTACTGTGATAAAAACAGCATGGTACTGGCAAAGAAACAGACCCGAGGATCAGTGGGATAGATTAGAAGATGCAGAAACAACTCCAAACATACTCAGCCACCTCATCTTTGACAAAGGTGCCAACCATAGCCTATTTAATAAATGGTGTTGGAAAAACTGGATTTCAACCTGCCAAAGATTAAAACTAGACCCATATCTATCACCATGCACTAAACTAAGATCAAAGAGGATTAAAGATTTAAGTATCAAGACAGAAACACTAAATTTGCTGGAAGTTAGGTAGAACTCTTGAAGACATTGGTATAGCAAAAGACTTTATGAACAAAACCTCAGTGACACAGGAGCTTGCACAGGGAATCAACAACTGGGATCTCATCTTATTAAAAAGCTTCTGCACTGCAAGAGAAACCACAATAGAGCTAAGAGACAACCTACAATGTGGGAAAAAATTTTCAGCAACTGTACCTTAGACAAAGGACTACTATCTAGAATATATAAAGAACTGAAAAAAATCAGACCCCCCCAATTCAAAGACCCAATTCAAAAATGGGCATCTGAAATGAACAGACATTTCTCAGACAAAGAAGTAAAAGCAGCAAATAAATATATGAAAAAATGATCAACATCATTGGTTATTCGAGAGATGCAAATGAAAACAAGAGTGAGATTCCATCTCACCCCAGAAAGAATGGCTGTTATCAAGAAATCATCCACTAACAAATGCTGGAGGGGGTGTGGGGAGAAAGGAACCCTTCTACATTGTTGGTGGGTATGCAGACTGGTGCAACCACTGTGGAAATCAGTATGGAGCTACCTCAAAGAACTAGGCTTAGAGGTCCCATTCGACCCGGTTTCCCCCTGCTGGGTATCTTCACAAAAGAATTAAAAGAATCATACCACAGTGATATATGTGCACCCATGTTTATAGCGGCACAGCTTGTAATAGCTAAAGCTTGGAAACAGCCCAAGTGCCCATCAGTTGGAAACTGGATAAAGAAGATGTGGTTTTTTAATAAAATGGAGTACTACTCAGCCATGAAGAATGAGAAGCTAGAGACATTTATAGCTAAATGGATGCATATTGAGGTGATACTCTTAAGTGAAATAAATAGAACACACACGTGTAAATACCAAACAGTTTCTCCAGTGTGAGAAACTGAAAGTGTAATTAAGGATACACACAGATGAAATGGCCTAATAACATATTTCTCAGATTGTGTTTCCATTGTGTGTCATATGACTGTATTGAAATTTAAATTAGGGAGAAGCTTGGCTTATGTGGAGTCTGCTAGCTAACTGGAGTTTTTTTTTTTTTTCCAGACCACTATTTGTTCAGTGTTGGTTTTGGGGATCTTTCTGAAACAAATCACATCCTCTAGCGTCTCGTTGGTGCTTGAGGTGTTTTTTTAAGGTATATGGAAAAATTTTTAAGTGCTTTTCAGTTTCGTTTTGGTTGAGTTCTACTGTATTTGAATATTATTGTAGTATTTTTTCCCTTGCATTGTTCTTGTTTGAATGGTTTTAATTTCTGCATGTGTGTTTGATAATAAAGTTATTTAAAAATATATATATTTTTAAAATACCAATCTTCCCACCAATACTCTACAAGACCTTTAATTGAGGGCGAACTTTAACTTTGGTTTGGTAAATTGTTCTGTGTTTAAAACCACAATTTTTTAGCCACATTTTATTAAAGCCCAACAGATGGTCTCATGTTCCTACCACCACCAAATCATGATGCCTCCCAGAAACAGCTACTGCAGGGGCTGACGGCTCTTCTCTGCCTTGCTCCAAGGTGTAAACCAATTTGCAGCACAGAGGCTCCTTTGGAATACACATGTCAACCCAATGTTTACCCCTATCATGCTGTTTCAAAGGTAGGTGGTTGAACTATGGCCCTAGAGCTAGATGGTTTTGATGTTTTCTTTCAATTTTTACAGTATCATGCAACATGGGAGAGAGAAAAAAGGCAAGGTAAAATAAAAAAGTAAAATTTGATCTCCCACATGCAATTTTCATTTATTCCCTCTTGAAAGTCCCTATATTAAGAAAAAGAAAGTGAAACAAGAAAATCTTGCAACTAAGCCCTGAAGATCTATCACACATTCAAAATGGAGACTGAGGGAGCACAGAACAGAATGGGCATCATATATGGCCACTTACTTATCTTACATTATTATCCCTGATCAAGCTACTGCTTTTTCTAATGCTAACATAGTGCAAGAGAAATTTATTAATTTGATCAGAAGTGTGCTCATGGAGGGAGCCTACACTCTACACATTTTCATGGAAATTGTGCTGCAGCCTAGAATTGCCAAAACCATACCTCTAGTGCAGAGCTTTTTCCTAAGCTCTGGATGTTCCACAGGGACTTTGAACTCAACATGTCTGAGATGGAATCTATCACTGCCTGCACACTTAGCTTTAATCTCTCCGCAATTCCTTGCTTGACGAATAGTCTCACCATGTAGTCATTCATCTAAACCTGAAACCTGAGTGTGATCCTTGATTTCTACTTCTTTGACTCAATCAATAGTTCTGCTGCTTCTAATGCCTTCACATAGCTTGTATCCAGGCCCTTCTTCCACCCCAAAGGCATTCTCATAGCTCAGTCCTTCATCCCTGTGACCCTCGTGACAGCCCCTATTCAGCCTTCCTATCCTCTGAGTTATACCTTCTCAGAGACCTCCTCCATCTGTCACTGCTCTGCTGAAAACTCCCTCACTGGATTGTTATAAGTACATACTGAATATCATGTCATTTAATCTGTATAATTCAATCTAGATCTCTAAGAGATCAGTCATCTGCTTTTTAACATAAACACATTATTATCTTATTTAATAAAATTCAACTTTAAAATTATCCTAATATACTTTCAGCATTTGAATTTTATTAATTATTTCAGAAGTTGCTTTTTCTCTAGTTTCTTTTTAAAAGTTGGGTAGAGGCCCGGGGATTTAGCTCAGTGGTTCTGGCACCTGCCTCACAAGCCCAAGGTCCTGAGTTCAATCCCTGGTACCCCCCCACAAAACCCCCCAAAAGACTAAACAAAACAAAAAGTTGGGTACAAATGAGAGCCACACATTGCATTTGGTTCATAGGTCTTTTGAAGCTCTTTTAATCTGCAAGGTTAAAAGGTCCCTCCTTTGAGGGGCAGTTGTTAAAGAAATAAGCTCATAAAACAACAGTACAAGTCTGAAATCCTCACATTCTGGATTTTTCTGACTGCACCCTAGAACCTTCGAGGAAGGCTCACATTTGAGGTTGTAATAAAAACACTGGCATTATATAACATGTGTTTTTAGAGCACACTTTAGTCTGCCTTAAATCTAAAGCAATCAAAACCAAGGTAAACCTAAAGAAAACTGTGAAATAGGCAAGTTTCATCTGTAGCTCATCTGTTTCCCTTTCATTCACTGATGCAACCTCCTCGGCCCTGCTTGTTACTAAGTATCAGAGGGAATTGTCCTCAATTTCTTCTTTTTCACTCTTTGATCTAAAGCAATGATTCACGTTAGTAATTCAGATCCCTCAACTGAACTTCCAGGCTTTTTGATGCAGCAAATCAGGAATAGAACTTAATATAAATCCTATCCTACTTGCAGACTGCCAGTTAGCATCAGATGCATATCCATGAGATCACCAATGTTAGCACATCTGGAAGTTGGTGTTTCTTGGGGCTGAGACCGAGCTGGCAGAACAGATGCTTCATTGCTGTGTTTATCCCCACTCCACTGCTCATTTCCACACCCTAATCTTATTTCTGGTCTGGCTTTTGTAATCCACTTACTTTTTTATCACATAACAATAATCTTACTAGTCATAATAAAAACAAACTCAGAGACACTGGCATAATAAATT